AAAATGATGCCTTTCCTACGTACTGTGCAGATTACATGTGTGTCCTTGTTACATGTGGCTAGTAGCTGTGCCATGACACAGGAAGTACTGCACACAGGAAGCAGGAAGGGGCTACACTAGGGGGAAATACATCGTCACATGAGGAATAATTACAGAAAGCATGTTTGTTACAACAAAAGGCCACTAGATGGCAGCATATGATAACACATGGATTTAGCTATGAGAAAATAGTTAGGCAAATCACACTATATAAATTCTAACCTATATAACAATGCTAATCTTAACTGAGGCTATGCATCTCATATTCTATACCCCTGTTGGGGCGGCACAGATACTGTTCATCAGATAGATGCGTGTGTGTGTCTACATGTCGGCAAAACTTCTTTACTGATCACGCTTGTGTATGAATGAATGATGTAACCTGATTGGTTGCTCTCGGCAACAGATCCTGCGCTCCATCCTCTTTGCTCCAATTAAATGCAGCAGCTGGCGTACACACACACTTAATGGGATTGGATACTTCGCTCCTCTGGGATAACTGCATCCTTGCCAGCTCCTGGCATGCTGGGAGTTGTAGTGCTCCAGCAATTCAGCTACACATAAGATGGTCATGTGGAAGATGAGGATGCAGGACAGAGTGATCCCAGAGATTGCCCTGCACCTTAGTGGAAGCAGGCAGTGTAGCTGCCCTCATACACCACTGTCAGTGTGTAGAGCCCAAAAGCCGTCCTATGAAATACCCCTGGGCCCTGGAGAGAAGGGCCCTGCTCGGACTCTCCCTCTTTCTGGATGGAGCGTGTCAGGCCTGATGGCAGCAGTGAGATGAGGAGGGGGTCTGTACTGCACGGCGGGTATTTATCTACTCCGGGGCTGCTACTTTCACAACGCACGCAGGCTAACTGATCAGTACAGCAGCGGCCGGGAAGGAGTGATAAGAAAGCTGGCGGGAGCTATCGCTCACGCACCTGAGGTGACTCCATGGACAGCCCTGCATTTTGGGGAAGGGGGGTAAAGTGTCGCTTCTGTATGCAGACAGCGCTACTCTGCAGTTTACATAGTGGCGCTGCCCACAGGAGGTGGGAGAGGCAGGCTGGGGGGAGGGGACTAGAGAGGTGATCGCCGCTGCTGAAGCTGTGGCAGTTTCCCCCATCGTCCTGCCGGTGGCGCCCCTGCCCCCCGATGAATTTCCACTCGCCCCCACGCAATTTTCACTCGCCAATTGCGATGGGGCGAGTGGAAATTTAGAGCCCTGTGTACTGTGACATACTAAAGCAGAACATGATCCCCTCCTTTCGGAGACTGGGCCGCAGGGCAGTATTCTAACATGATAACGACCCCAAACACACCTCCAAGACGACCACTGCCTTGCTAAAGAAGCTGAGGGTAAAGGTGATGGACTGGCCGTGCATGTCTCCAGACCTAAACCCCATTAAGCATCTGTGGGGCATCCTCAAACAGAGGGTGGAGGAGCGCAAGGTCTCTAACATCCACCAGCTCCATGATGTCGTCATGGAGGAGTGGAAGAGGACTCCAGTGGCAACCTGTGAAGCTCTGGTGAACTCCATGACCAAGAATGTTAAGGCAGTGCTGGAAAATAATGGTGGCCACACAAAATATTGACACTTTGGGCTCAATTTGGACATTTTCACTTAGGGGTGTACTCATTTTTGTTGCCAGTGGTTTAGACATTAATGGCTGTGTGTTGAGTTATTTTGAGGGGACAGCAAATGTACACTGATATACAAGCTGTACACTCACTACTTTACATTGTAGCAAAGTGTCATTTCTTCTGTGTCGTCACATGAAATTATATAATGTAATATTTACAAAAATGTGAGGGGTGTACTCACTTCTGTGAGATATTGTACATAGTGTGCCATGAGTCATTAAATTGTTGTTGTTTGTATTTTTACCAATTTTACTATTTGATTTAATTGTGGAGCAATGTGACCTTTACACCCAACAGTTCGTTAGTAGAAATTCTGGTTCCTTTTTATGCCATACAATTTCCATGGAAGCCTGTCACTGTTTCAGAATTTAAAGCATTCTTTTGCCTGACTTTACACATGGTAATCACAATAAAAAAAAGAACTGCTATCATATTGGTCCACATACCCAATCCACCACATGCCCATCATGCCCAGGACATGATATAAAATGAAATTTTTTCATTTCAGTGACAATTCGCTGTGCCCTCTCAAAATCGGTTCCACGTATGATAGACTCCACAAAATTAAGCCGCTCAACAATTTTTTTAAAACATTTTTTTTAGATAACCCAGAAAACGGGTTACACATTTGATTTTCTCATTTACAAAGTGGTAGCTTGCCAGCTGGAGCCCCCCTTGCTGCCCATCTCAAATATGTGTAGCAGTGGAAGGATTGTGTGGAACCTTATGTCCCCCCTACTTCATCAGGGATACTACCTCTAGGTGGACAATTTTTATGTCAGGGTTCCACTATTCAAACATCTTTTTCTCAAGCAAACTGTAGCTTGTGCTATAATGTGACTAAATTGCAGAGGCTTTCAGCAAACACATGTCAACACAAAGCTGAAAATGGGAGGAGGCAACAAGTCTGCTCCACCTGGTAACCTGAAGAATAACTTACTAATACAAAAAAAGTATCTATCTATTTAATCCAAATGGCCATCTACAATTCATTTGTGGTCTGAGCCTTATCAAGTAAGTGACACCCCGCCACCCCCCGCCCCATGGCCTGTGGTGTGCCTTGGCCTTCTCAGGTCAGTATGCCTAAAAGGGGGCATACCCTGAATGTAAATGAAATGAATGAATGCAAGGGGAATGGGTGGGTGGGGACGTTCGTGACCCGCCGACATAATTCCCTGTGAGCCGTGCCGTCTTTAAAGGCACAGGCTCCTCCCACAAATCCAGGCTAGCCTGCGGCCAGCCTTCAACATGTCCCGTAGTAAGACCTAGCTCCTTCCTAAAATATAAAGAAGAAATTATAACAGCCCTAATTAACCAGTAAGGCCCTGCACCTGAAATGCTTGAATCTCATGAAGTCTGCAGGCTGCATGAGAAACACTTGCCGGATGTTATCCCTTTTACCCAAGCAGACCACCAAACATATGCAGCAAAGATGGAATAAGTTGTCACACATTGTTTTTGTCCCTACGGTCACATGTCCATATTTGGACCTTTGTACCCGTGCAGCTGCAGGGTGGGAAATGTCTCTCATTGGGGCATCACTGTCGGCTTCCTTTTGGATTCCAAGGAGCTTGATTGTGGCCCAAACCCAAGTGCATTCCTACTCTTAGGTATTAGAGTGCACATTGTGGTTCGGGTTTTTTTCTTCACGTGCCTGACTAGCTGCCATTTGCCTGTACCTGATCCATTTCCTTCAAAGCCTGAAGGTGCTTCTTGGATTTTGGGCCCCTCTCTATGGTTAGGCAAAAGTCTCACATGTGGTATCCTCATAATCGGGAGGAGTAGCAAAATATGTTTTGGGGTGTAATTCTAAGTATGCCCACGTTGTGAGAAATATCTTATTAAAATGGCAACTTAGTGAAAACAAAAAATCTAATTTCCTATACTTTCTTCAAAATCCAAAAAATTTAAATTAAACTTAATTACTTTTTATTTTACTTTATTACGACTTTAAACTTAATTATTTTTATTTGACTTTACTTTCTTCATAGTCCAAAAAATTGTGGCAAAAAATTAAGATTTCAAAATATTTAGCATGTCTTTTACTAAATACCTTGGGGTGTCTACTTTCCGAAAAGGGGCCATTTCGGGGGTGTTTGTACTGTCCTGGCACTTTTGGTGTCACTGAAGCGGTCTATGAGACTGTTCCATGTCCATATATCTTTCGGCAGTCCTTACCAGATATCCCAAAAGTAACAGGTACTCGTGCTGGTGGGCTGGTGACATCTTTATATAAGTTGCCCTTTTCCATAACACCACATATGCTGTAGCATGTAACTGAGAGTGTTTTTCCCATGCCACCCTCAAAGTGGCATAAAAAGGAGGACTCTCTGCATTGCCACATGTCTGTCATGGCATTGTACAGGTTCACATGTCCTTTGATTGACAATATCTTGCCTATGAGCCTTGAAAATGGCCAAAATTGATTTTCAAGATTTGCCCTCAAAGACTTCAATAGGATTCAGATTAAAGTTGTCAGACGTTACGATGGGAGGAACATTCGTTCATCCCTATCTATAAATTAATAGCCTGAAAAAAAGGTTGAAAATGGCAGTGAAGATATTTCTGTGTAACAAATTCTCTGGAAAACGACTTTGTGGATTGTGTTTTTCTGATCACACATAAATGCAAATACCAGATTGACTTTCATGATTGTGTTGGGCACTCCAGATGTAACTCTCAGTTGTCAAGCAAGTCTAGCTTAGTCTATGAACCTTCTAATTAGGCGGTTATCTACAAAGAGATACTTTTTATTTAGTATTTACAAAGTGAAAGGTGTGAGCACAAGAAGGACACGAGGACCAGTTAGGTGAGATTCTATTGATCTTGAAAAGGTCATGCAGGATAGGTGAGAAGAAATATCTGAAATGTGAGGTCATAGGGATTGTCTCCTGTGATGATGTTAGCGGTATAAAAATTTAGGTGCAGCACTTCTTGTGGAGTGATTACAAATCGGGGAGGAGAAAAGGAGAGGCTTGTCAAAGGAAGTGTATATATAAATATATGTTTCATTGTCACCAGTGTTGTGGAGCAGAGAGATGAATGGATATATAGCTCAGGAAGAAAGCCTAAACATGGTACTAGAAGGTATGGAGACCCAACACAAGGAAACAGGTATGCAATGAACAATAAATACAGCTGTGACACTGAAACGTTTCTTTATAGAAAATAACAGTATCTGCTGATTATTGAATTTATTGAACATTTACACTTTCCTGTCTTGCTCTTGCTTGACTTACAGGCAACTTGAGCTACTTCATGCAGAAAGAAATCTTCGAGCAGCCAGAGTCCATAGTCAACTCAATGAAAGGACGAGTCAATTTTGATGACCTGACGGGTAAGATCTCCAGATTTTTCCTGCTTTGGGGAAAGATGTGTTGTATCTACTCCAAGTGGCCTGTTCACTAACAATGGCAAACCTGTAAATCATAATGCCATGGTTGGTAGCTGTTCTTGCGTTTTAGGATTTAGAAATGAGGGATATACCCCACAATTTACAATTCTGACAAATTACACAGTGACATTTCTCTTTTAATGCATGTTACTTGTATTTTATTTTATATAATCACATTTTCTTGTGGTTTTGAGTTAGCAATTATTAAGAGCAGTATTTTAAAATGCAAAAATTATTTTGAAGACCAATTCTGGGGGCATGGTAATAAAAATGTGGAAGCCTGTGCACCTCTAAGGGAGCATCAAGAATGATTAGCTGAGATTCACTGGCACAGTTGAAATGCCCCTGAAATGGTATAAAATGTTCTACATAAATCTAATCATATAAATTAGGGATGCACAGATACTTTTCGAGTACCAGTGCAGATACTTGGCATTTTCATGAGAACTACCAGGGTTGCAGCGGTTGCAGCTGGGACCTGGCTCTGGTGCTCCACCGCTGTCCTGAAATCATTAGTCTGTATTGTTTTAGAAAAACTGTCACATGACAATAAACAAAAATTTATCAGTACTCATACTTGTAAGTACTCGGCAAGTACCAGTACTCGTACTCGCAAAACTGGTATCTGTGCATCACTTTATTTATATTTATAAAAACAAAATCGTACATTAAAACAGAGATGCACAAATCCCAGGAGCTCCGTGTGCTCCTTACAAATGACAGCTGACTCCTAACTTCTGAATTTTTCTCTAGCCTAGTCTTTGAGCTCAAAAGTATCGGTACATGTACTCGTACTTGTACCGAGTACTGTACTTGGTATCTGTGAAACCCTAATATAAATAGACTTTGTTCTTAAAGTTGGTATTTATTGAACATTCTTGGTAGCTGCTGAGCTCTCCATTGCATTTAGAGCAGATCAAGTGGTTCAGTACACACTAGCACTTAGCCAAGCATCAGTGTCATGCTACATGTTGCCTTGTGTGATGCTGTTGTCCTACTTATTTGATTGTTGTCCTAGATGGGCCAATTCTACTTGGAGGAGTTTCCGATACTACTATGAGCAATCATCTTTTGCTCCACTGCCTGTGTATGCTGCAGCCTCTAGCACAGGTGCACAGGGGAGCTGACTGTCTTTGTTCTGATAGTCTAATTAGAATCACTGCACTGCATGCTATGGGGCAGTGCAGAGCAAACTTCCAGATATTCTGCTATTAAACTGTAAAGTATTATCATGCTCTTTAATTTTCTTATATTTTTTTAACAGTAAATTTGGGAGGTCTGAAAGATCACATCAAAGAAATTCAAAGATGTCGACGAATAATTCTCATTGCCTGTGCAACCAGTTACCATGCTGGACTTGCTGTAAGTGTTTATTACCTTATAATTTTGAACATTCTATACCAGGGATAGGTTGCCTAAGGCACAGGTGCACCTATGTGCAGAATCTAGTCAATGGTGAGCTGCAGCAACATATCACTTCTAATAGCAATCTACTGCTGGCCAGTATTAGACCACTAAAGCATTAATCTACTGCTGCTAAGAGCGGCAGGACAGTTCTGCCCTAGTCTCCGTTCTAACAGGAAGTGATGTGACGTTATTTCACTTCCAAAAAATGCCTGCCACCCAGCTCTCCTATGGAGCAGGAGCACAATATCTGAGCTGGTCAGTCATTGACAGATGGTGGTTTCAGCACTAAAGCCTGTCCGAAACGCTGTCACTCACTGTGCAGCCCGCTATGCTCCAGAACTGTCTGGGCACCAAGGCTTTAAGTGCAGTGGCTTTAATGCAGTGTCGTCACAAGGGTGGTGCGGCCCGCACCCGGGTGACACCATTGGAGGGGTGACACCAAAATGACTCACAGTCATTTTGGTGTCACCCCCCTCTGAAAAGTCGGGCGCTCGGTCATGGACCGAACAACCGACAGTATCAGTCGAGGAGGGGACCCGGCGGCATACCTTATCCCGCCGCGTGACTGTCCCCTCCACTCTCTGCCGGCGTCCATCCCCAAGATGGCCGCCGGCAGGTATCAGAATACTGCCGCGCGTGCGCGATGACGTCACGCGCATGCGCAGTGATGTCTCGGCGGGGTGACACTCGGTTACCGCTCCGGGTGTCACCCAGCCTCGGGACGCCCCTGTACAGATGTTTACAATCTGTCAATCTGCTAGATTGCTCATGATTTAGCTGTAACTTAAAGTGCAACTGAATCCAAAGCTTTTTTCTTTTGGATAGAGTAGAGAGGGACATGAACACCTGGAAGGTTTGTATCACTGTCTGTTTCCCCGTAGTGGAGATTCACCCTCTCTTTTTGTCTTTGTGACCATTATTACTGAAAGTGAAAGTAAATCCCAAGTTTTGGGTTGTCACTAGAACAGAATAGATGGGAAATCTTCCAATTGGGACACTAGTTCTGGTGACCCTGCTGACCACCAGGGATTTCCCTTATCTTGGAGAGATATTCCTCTCACTTCCTGTTGTCGCTATCGGACAGGAAGTAATGACACATCTCCCCAATGGGACAATGATGGCAAAAAAAAAACTTCTGCATCTTCATGCTCCCTGCTTTATTTAACGCTATTGTTATGAAAAAAAAAAGCTTACTCTATTCAAAAATATAACGTTTTGGCTTCAGTTCTGCTTTATTGTTCCTACCAGGACATTACAAACTGCTATTAGTGCATTAAAGCCACCTGCTATAAACATTTTCTCGGTGGTGATAGACTGCATTTATTTTTTCACTTGTAATACATATGTTTCTTAGGTTTCCAGACAAAAAGAACTAACACTTACACAAAGTTCTCCATATTAATCATGTCCTTGTATCTATCTGTCCTCCAGACACGTCAGATCCTTGAGGAGCTCACAGAGCTTCCAGTCATGGTGGAATTGGCTAGTGACTTCCTGGACAGGAGCACTCCTGTATTCAGAGACGATGCGTGCTTCTTCATCAGTCAGTCAGGTATGGTATTCTTATAGTCTGGCAATTTCATGATAATCTGTGTCATCTGATATACATGAACCTTTCTCTAAAAGCATATACCAACAATCAAATCACAAAATACATATATTTTATTATATTACAGCCACAAATTTGCTATGTTGAAGAGGAACAGTACTACAAATTGTAGTTAAAGAAATGTTGATAGCTATTCAAACAAATAGTTACACTCTTCCATATACACGAATATAAGTCACTGAGATAACTCTCCGTGGTTGTCTATGGAACGTCAGACCACCAGGGATCACTTACGAGAAGTGGGCCTGTAAATATCTAGCAGGGCAGTGGCCAAAAATATAGGATGATCCATGGAATATTTTTACACAAATGGGATGTTTGATCAACAACTAAAGATAAGGGAAATAAAGCAATAATTCCCAGCCACCGGGCCAATAAAGCCAGAGCTTGCTTTGAATTTCTAGCCATGGCCTGCTGTGGGTTACACCTAGACTTTTCCTTTCCTTATGTTTCCTTATGTTTTTATATGTACACCTCCCTGTCCCTGATCTTCAATATTAGTGGCTAAACAGCCATGCAGATTTCTGTTGGACCTCCTCTGTTAAAAAGTAGGGATGCACAGATACTTTTTGAGTACCAGTGCAGATACTTGACATTTTCATGAGAACTACCAGGGTTGCAGAGGTTGCAGCTGGGACCTGGCTCTGGTGCTCCACCACTGTCCTGAAATCATTAGTCTGTATTGTTTTAGAAAAACTGTCACATGACAATAAACAAAAATGTATCAGTACTCGTACTTGTAAGTACTCGGCAAGTATCAGTACTCGTACTCGCAAATCTGGTATCGTTGCATCCCTTTATTTATATTTATAAAAACAAAATCTACATTAAAGCAGAGATGTACAAATCCCAGGAGCTCCGTATACTCCTTACAAATGACAGCTGCCTCCTAATTTCTGAATTTTTCTCTAGTCTAGTCTTGGAGCTCAAAAGTATCTGCACTTGTACTCATACTTGTACTGAGTACTGTACTTGGTATCTGTGCAACCCTATTAAAAAGGATAAGTAGATGTGGTACCCATAGAAAAAAACACTTAAAATCCAGCTTGTGACTCATGTTTAAAAGGGGGAAAAAATAACATGATTAGTTGCGGTTGATAAAACTCTATTTCTTTTGTGCACATTTGAATTATTAGACATCGTGTTTCCTGTTTACCTTCATTCAGGAGAGACGGCAGATACTGTTCATGCATTGCGTTACTGCAAACAACGGGGAGCACTGACAGTTGGGATCACGAACACCGTTGGCAGCTCCATTTCCCGGGAGACACACTGTGGTGTCCACATTAATGCTGGGCCTGAGATTGGTGTGGCCAGCACAAAGGTGAGCACTGGAGTGACACAAAAAAATGTGGAGTAAGCTGGCATCGCATACTGTGTGCTTTTGAGAAAAATTGTACAATCTCCTTTAGGTTTACCAACAGCTATGCAGTGGAAGGTCCTGCTTAAACCATCAATTTAATGTCCAGTATATCCAATGTGATAAGCCATCATACTGGATAGTAGTTGGTTGTGAAGAAGATCGTGCAGTCCATTTGTAAAGTGCGTGGCCAGCTTTAGTGTGTTAACCATAGGGTGGACCAAAGGCTTTAATAAGATGGCATAAAGAACCAACTTTGTATCGCATGTTATTGCCGGAGAATGAGTTACTTGTTTCATGCATTTGATGTCTGGCTGTTGTCATATACTCTCACTGATGTGACAATGTTAGATTGGAGTGTGAGGTTTACTGGATCCATTTCTCTTCTAACAGACATACACCAGCCAGTTCGTGACACTGGTCATGTTTGCACTTATGGTTTGTAATAACCGTATTTCTAAGCAAGAGCGACGCAAGCAAATTATACACGGTCTGAAAATGCTGTCAGGTAAGAATGATTAAATAATGCAACCAAAATCTTACTTTTATATGTTAAGCCTGTAATTTTGCTGTGTGTATACTGCTTCACATATCTTATATAAAGACAATTCTAGGCAGGAGATAAGTCTGTTTACTACTCACTGTGTCATAGAATTACACCTCATAAGTCATAACTTGCATTGGAACATGAAAGGTCAGGGATGGTACCTGCATATATGGCAATGTTTGCTTTGCCTTTGACATTTTTGTCTTTTCTTTTCTGTCTCAGACAACATTAAGGAAGTACTTAGCCTTGATGATGAGATTCAGAAGCTGGCAGCTGAACTGTACCAACAGAAATCTGTGTTGATCATGGGTCGTGGATATCACTATGCAACCTGCCTGGAAGGCGCCTGGGTAGGTTGAAGTCTCTCAGGCTTTCCCTTGTCATCAGTTTCCTGCCTGTTGAATCATTGTGGCAACATCTGAAGTTGTACTTTGCTAAATTAATCACTGTGGTGTCCTAAGAACAAATGTCTTACGCGGATTACAGTTCGAACAGCTCTAACCAAATGGAAAAACAGGATATTGTGTATTAAAGGCTGATGAGATCCCTAAATAACTAATGATGTGGATAATGGGTGTGGATAAGGAGCAGTCCAGGACCTGACACTCCCTGCCTGTGCCCACTTATTACCTCAATGTCAGAGTTTGCATTGGGCAAATAGGGTAAATTACTATTGCATGATGCCCTAAATCAGATCTGCCCTGCCAGGACATTATAAGGAAAAGAACTGGCCACACACCAAGGCATAGCTTCTTATTCTTCCACATGTGTTTATTACAGTAAGGAGGGCTTCGTAGACCGTTTTCCTTTATGGTCTATTGAGGGACACAGGAATTCAGATACAGTTAGGTTATCCTGCCACCAAGAGGAGGTTTGGACTGAACAGAGCAGAAAAATTGCAGGCCATCTGCATATAACTCCTCCTCTACACAGCATGCTTAGTTTTTATATTGTTCTAGGAAGTTGGATGCCTTTTCCACATTTCTGCACAGAAAAGTTAAACTATTTTTTGCTCTAGCCTTTTTTCTTTATGATTTTTTTACCTCTGCAATCAAGATTCCTTGCTGCATTGCGCTTTGAGCTGTTCTCTGTAAGCAGTTATCTGGATCGGTGTTTCCTCAGCCTAGCTTTGAAAGCCATACCTGGACCCCGCTAGACTGGATGTAGCCTGGAATTTGAGGCTCTGCATTGTGGCACTTTTCAGACCTGAGCATACTGTGTTAGTTGACTCACATTTATTCAGTCTTGCAGTCTTCAGTCTTCTAAAATTGCAACCACAAAATCGCAAAAAACTACCATACCCAAAATTGCCCATAGGCGACACTTAGTGTTAAAAGTGATTGATGGCCCTGGAATTATTGCTTGCATTCTGACATTCATGGTGAAGGCACACCGAACACATGTTTGAGTTTGTATGTGCATGTATGTGTGGATGGGGGACTTTAAAACATTTTTTTGTGTTTTTTAAATAGTTTTTATATATGTGTCTTTCATTTTGCTTTCATTTTTACACTTAAATGTATTGCTATCATATAGGGGGCTAATAGGTCACAGTGTCGGTGTCAGGTCCTCTTTATGGAGACATCTATTAAATCTATTAAATCCCTAATGTCACCTAGGGACCACAAAGAAGTTGATTATTCAGCGATCTGCTTCTTCAGCTTCTTTTCCCCCTACAGGAGCCGGAGAAATCATAGTGTGAAAGCGGAGGACTAATGCTTTGTCACTGGTACCTCCTTCAATTGCCCATCGGTATCTCTCTTGTGCTACTGCCTTTCCCCAGTCCAGTTTAGGACTTGGGTTTTGGAGTTCACTCCCTTTCTCAGAACAATCCACTGTCCCTAGGATATGCTCAGCATTCCTCCCCTTCAGAGAGATTTTAGGGCCTACATTGTTGACCAGGGCCAGTTTTGGCTGGCTGCTACCTAAACAAGGACCTGGCCCCTCAGCATCCATCAGAGGTACCTGCTGCTTCACAGAGCATTGGTACTTGTGTTCACCCTAGTGCCCTTTCTTGGCATCACCATTTTGGGATGCTCAAATGAACCCCACTGGAGAGTCAGTTTTTGGACCCTTGTTTGGCGAGATTGATTGTCTGGCTACTTACTGTAAAATCTTTTTCTTTGAGTCTTTTGAAGGACACAGGTCCCACCCCTTCATGTTCTCTCTGCGTTTGCTCTTGGTACTGCTTTTACAAAAAATTGAGGCATACTGGGTAGAGGAGGGGTTATTTGGAGTCTGAGCTACCTTTTTTTTTTTTTTTACTGTATAACCAGTATAAGCCAACTGTATTTGAATTCCTGTGTCCCTCAATGAACTCCAAGAAAAAGATTTAATGGTAAGCACAAACATCTTTTTTATTCACTAAAAAGTTTGAGGGATTGTTTTTTAAATTGCATTCGGGTTATGACATATTCTCTTTTCAAAAGCAGATCTGCTTCACAAAGTTGAATTTTTAGTAACAGTAACTTTTTTTTTTCTTTGTAGAAAATTAAGGAAATCACATATATGCATTCAGAAGGGATCTTGGCTGGGGAGCTGAAGCATGGTCCACTGGCCTTGGTAGACAAACTTATGCCGGTCATCATGATTATAGTGAGGGATCATTCCTACATCAAGTGCCAGAATGCTCTCCAGCAAGTGGTTGCTAGACAGGTAGGTCTAAGACCATATTATGGATAAATAAGGGCTGTAGTTATATAACCTATGGTGTCATGTTCATTTTACAAATTCTTTATAGGGACGTCCAGTGGTGATCTGTGACAAGGAGGACACAGAAACAATTAACGCAATCCCACGTACAATTAAGGTTCCTCACACGGTGGACTGTCTTCAAGGAATACTGAGTGTGATCCCCCTACAACTCCTTGCCTTCCATCTTGCTGTTCTCAGAGGATATGATGTAAGTTGTTGGCACCTGTAAGACGGCTTTCTAGCTGCAAGCTTAAGAAAGGGTTCTGGTTGTTCTATATATGATACTGGATTGACTGACCAATACCTTCCTCTTTCCATAGGTGGATTGTCCAAGAAACTTAGCCAAGTCTGTGACTGTGGAGTAGAGTGGGTGGAATCCGTAGACGACACTATTTCTACCATTTCTATATCCCAATTTTTACTTTTATATTTATGTTCCCCTCATTTCCTTTGTATTCAGTCCATTTGCAGCACCTGCTGCTGCATCTTGTGAATCTGGAAAACCAGAATATTGTACAAATGTAGTTTCTGTTGTAAACAGACAGATCCTTGTAGAATAGATACTATTATCTTCCTTCCTTTGCAGTAACTTGGACAGAGTTCTAGTGATTTGCACTGACTTTCATGTCATGTCAGATCCAGCACTTTAAAACTTTGTCCATATTGCTATCTTACAGCCCATGTAAAGATATGGACCTTTCCGTTTCTAAACTCTATGTGTCAAGAGATAGTCTGCTGTCCACAGTCACCTTATGACTGCTGTCTGATAATTGCTGTGTGTGGATGGAAATGACACAACCGGTCAGAGGTGTTGCTCTTACTGAGAATGTGATGCAAGCAAAAGACTTACTAGAACTGCCGTGCCATTATTTGATGGCCTACAGCAGGATAAGGTCCTACACAGTAGATTGATTAGTTTCTTTGGTACGTTTTCCATGATTTAGTTTTTTAGAATGGAAGATTACTATAAAGCCAGGTCTGTGAACTAATGACACCTGCATCAATATTTGCACATTTCCCATTTATACATGTTTAATGTAAAACTGATGGAGAAAGTAGACAGAAATTATTTAATAGCATATTATTTGTACCTTTCAAAGTTTTGCTGGCTTGACCAAAGAAAATATTTGTGTTGTGTTTTTTTTCTATACACAAGCCCTCCCTGATTGGTGCTGTATACCTTTTCAATAGATTTAAGCATAAGGCACTAAAAGTGCAGAGTTTAAACATGTAAAAGATTTTTACATTTTTTAGGCTTTTTTTCAACTCTATAATCTAGCTTCACAAATGAAATACTAAGTCAATGACTTTCTGTTTAGGAAAGTCCAGAAAAAGGGGGCACAAGCACAAGCTGGCGTTGTGGCATAGATGGGTAAAATGTACCTGTATGTGCTATGTGGCCCCCTGTTAAAGCTGGCCATGCACTGTTAGAGTTTCTCTGTTCAGTCTATGAATGGATAGACGGATCTTCTGCTGCAGCTATTGTATTCTTAGGCTGGCCACGGGCTGAACGAAAAAAATATAACAGATTCCTCCATCCTTTGTATTTAGACGGTGGATGTGCCGCTGTCAGGATACTTAAACAACTGATTGGCTGCCATCACTGTTCGCCGAAGATTTTCCATCTGGCTCCTTCAATTTTCTGATCGAAGGATTGCGGATAGAAAGGTGCCAGCAGGACACCTACTGTGCAAAATATGGCCAGCTTTACAGCGGCTTTTGTGCTGCTTTCAGAATACCTGAACAGTGACGGTAGCTGGTTGGCTGTATTCACAGTTAGGCTGAGAATTTTCCACCTGGTTTCTTTGATTTTCTGATTAAAGGTTGTTGGATGGAAGGCTGCTGACAGGGCCACCCACTGAGTGAGTTTATTTAGAACCGTCCAACATTTGTCCTGTGTACTTTTAATCTAGGTAAAGTAGACAAAGTCTTATGTGAGCTGTAGACACTTCTAGTCCTGGTTTTCTTGGTAGGCTCGGACTGCACATTCCCCAACAATAGTCTAGACAATGTCTGGATTGTGTTCTGGCTATAGATTGCACTTTTTTGTAATAAACTTGTTTACTTGTCTATGTAACCAGCAGTAGCGGTACCTCCTCTAAGGAAGCATTTAAAGCTCTCAGCCTTGCTGGAAAGGGTTAGTCTTGCTTTATACCTCCTTTATTGTTCTGCTAGTATAAAAAAAAACGCTTATCTGGAAAGGGCATTTAATGATATAGAGCCTCATCTCAAATGAAGGAGAGCAAAGGGGTGAGTTGCCCATTGCAACCACTCACCTCCAGCTGTCATTTTACTGGGAGAAGGAGAAGATGAAAGACATGATATCATATTAGTTCCTACTTGCAACACACACTTTTTATACTTTAATAGGATACAGATGTTGTCATTTCACATGCAATTTGCCAACCTTTGGACCATTTATGTGGTCATCATTGTGCAAGCAGAATATCTTGGCTTTGCCCAGCTGTGCCATCTGTTCTCTATTCCCCACAGGCACTCGTGGTAGCTGGAAATATACAAAGTTTACATTGCACTGATAACAGGAGAACTTTTAGAGACAATATGATAAATAACGAAGTCACTGTGGCGCTCTGGTCAGATCTACACCATCTCCGTGTGTACTTGAGTAGGAATGGTGGTTGATTGACATCTGGAACGCAGAAGCTGTGAAAATGTATTTTCCGCCAGCTTGTTGGCATCTACTGTTGTTGAAGTTGCCTGCAGTGGATGAGTTCAGTGTCAGCCAGCATTTTCAATAGCCTCCTGTTACGGCACAATCATTCTAATAGAGAATGCCAACACTTGGATAGCATCTGAAAACCATCACTTTTGTTGTATAATCCTATAAATGATCTTAAAAATGGGATATAATGGTGTGTTTTGTGGACAGTACATAGCCTTACAGCTGTTAGGAAACTACAATTTCAAGCAGACAGCTTTTAAAGGATTTTGCTGACTAGCTGCAGGTTTTTGCTTTCAACCAGATTGTCCTGAAAAAACAGTAGCAAGTAATTTCATGGCAACCAGTTTCATGTATTCACATAACTCTTCTTGTCCTACCTGAAGAGCAAGCGAGGCAGCAAATCAGAGTGGTAAATTTTTTTTTTTTTGGTTGGTTTGTTTGTTTTTTCACCATGAAGATGGTTGGCAAGGAGTGCTTTACACCTATCTCCAGACACCGCTTACCTGAAAGTAAGGTACTTCTGCATACTAATAAGGAATCCCTCTTCGTGCATTGTTCTCTAGGATGCAATTGATTTATTAGAGTAAATTGAAGACATTATCTTAAAAATGGGATATAATAGTGTGTTTTGTAGACAGTACATGGCCTCACAGCTGTTAGCAAACTACAATTTCAAGAAAACAGCTTTAAAGGATTTGGCTGACTTGCTGCAGGTTTTTGCTTTGAACCAGATTATTCTGAAATACAATAGCAAGTAATTTCATGGCAACCAGTTTCATGCATTCACATAACTCTTCTTGTCCTACCTGACAAGCAAGCGAGGCAGCAAATCAGAGTGGTAAAGAGTTTTGGGTTTTTTTGCACCAAGAAGACAGTTGTCAAGGAGTGCCTTACACCTATTTCCAGAGACAACTTACCTGAAAGTAAGGTGTGCTGCAACTTAATAAGGAATCCCTCGTAGTATGCTCTCTTGATAAACAGGAAATTAAAGTCAAATATTTTTTAAGCTATTTGAAATGCTAATTAAATCACTAAATGAATGATGTATCTTGATGTTCAAAAGTTTTAGTTTCCTGTAGAATCACCTTTTTCCCTTGAGCACTGGCCCTGATATCCTGTTTTAGGGTGGCTTCTTTCCCTTGCAGGGTCCTTTGGAGGCACCCTTGTGTGTGCTAGTAAGCTGCAAGTGTCTCCACAAACACTCGGACTCAGCAAGGCAAGCCACTCTCCAGCTCCCCACTCCTCCCTCTTCCCTTCTCTAAGCTAGACTACTCTGCCCCTTGTGATCTTGTACAGGACAGGAAGTTCAGAGAAACCAAGCTGAGAGAGTTGGAGCTGTTTGGGAACATGATGAGTGTAAGTGCTTGGGCAAACTTTCAGAGGGATACTTTGCTGGGCAATGTATATTTGTTTGAACTGGATTCATTAATGAAACAAAGTCTGAGCATGTAATACTACTTTAAAGCCTTTGAGTCTTCCATATCAGCTGCTTGCTATGAAGTTAAAGAAAATGTGGCATTTTGGTGTTTTTATACTCTTTCTCATCCATTTATGTTTTTTGTGTATTTATATTTCATCTAAAATGTTTGTGTTTTAATGTAGAAATGTGTATGCTATTTGTATTTTGTTTTAACTGGAAAAAAATGAACAGTTTCCATTAGATGGAAAATTGCTGTTCTCATGTATTCATGTATGAAAAGTTTACAATGGACCGAAGACATGTACAGTGCTTGTAAAATATATATTGAAACATCACATGAATGCTGTGAAAAATAAACATTTAGACATGTACAGTTATTTATCTGTCAGTGCTTTTCTTTACGTTGTGTCGTTTGCTGGAGAATGCTGTGGTCAGGACGTCTGTGACTCGTCCTTACCCATTCGTTGGTGAAATATCAGCCTCTACCCTTGTGTATCACTACGCTGAGCTTTCTTCCAGATGTTGCCGTGTTCCTGTGTGGCTTATATGTGATTAGGGGCTGTTACTTTTTCTACAGTAAAAAAAAAAATCAAAAAACAAATCAATGAACAATCATTTTTCCAATTTCCTGGAAAACATCTGTGCAATAACAAGTACTTCTTAAAGAGATACTCTCATCATCATCAATAAGACCAAAACTGCTGCAGTATATAACATGCAGGCATCTATATTCCAATTGGCTATGGAGACTGCCCATTATAGTAAAGGACCAATGGGGCACGGGGGCTTAGCGGCAAGCTTCCACACTACCTAATAATGTTGATACTTTGCCTGTCAGAATGGCCTGGCATTCGGCCATGACAGAAGGGGGCAAGATGCCTACCGCAGGTTTATCTGTGAAGGTTCGCATTCATCCACGTCATGGTATATCTGTAAAAAATAAGTCAAGGCAACTGGGCTTGCTGTATTTTTCTTGAAGACGTTTCGCTGGTCATCCAACCAGCTTTCTCGATTCAGAATGACTTGTACAAAATTTGCCGCATTTTAGTTTTTGTTGAGTCTCTTTAGGATGGCCACAGCTGTGAGGAGTGGTCAGGTTTGCATGCACAATCTGGCTACATCTGTAAGGGTGCCCACACACCTTACGATAATCGTACGATAATCGTACAATAATCGCGGGAAATCCCGCGATCGTACGATTATCGTAAGGTGTGTGGAAGCCGTGCGACCTCTACTACTGTAAGGTCGCACGACTTTAAACTTATAGACATGTTCGAAAACCCGCTGAGCATCGTACGATGTTCGGCGGGTTTGTGGCATGTCCGCACGATAAGCGCCGTACGGGCCGGTGTGCGCAAGTGCACACTGCCCGTTCGGCATTGCGCTCATCGGAAGCCCGCCCCTCAGGGGGCGTGGCTTGCGATCATCGCAAGTACGATCTGCCTATGCAAGATAGGCAGATCGTACGTTTTTTTAAGTACCTTACAACCATCGCAAGACAAAAGTCTTGCGGTGGTTGTAAGGTGTGTGCCCAGCCTAAGGAGTGGTCAGCACACACAATCCAACTATTGATGGGGCACAAAATTAGGGAAGGAGGTAGAGTGCTTCAAACATTTCTTATCTCTGCCACTCCAACAAGCTGTTGTGAATAGAAAGGGAAGAGGGCGAAGGAAGGGAGTGCAGGGTGTAACAAAAGAGACTGCTAGACAGCAGAGGGAAATGCCCAAAGACACCCTTGC